GGAAGAACGGCCAGGTTTTTCAGCATTGGTGACCTGGCAGTGAGGATGCTGGAATTGGTTGAATTTACTGTCATGTTCTCTATCTGATCCACTTGGCTCCACTTAGCTCGGACGGTCATGTCCACTTAGCTCTTTGGTCCCTCAAAAGGTCTTCTGCTTCGAAATTGATAGGACGAGATGGGTTGCTTGATGTTGCTTGGGAACAGCACTCATGTTCAAGGATCACCTTGGAGATGCCAAACACCCTCCTTGGTCAAAGAGTGCTGTCCTGATAGCATCCCCTCGGCTTTCCCATCGCGGCCTGGCTTCTCCATGCCCTGCTGAAAGGCCTCACGCAAGTAAGTCACCCAATCTTCGCCTCGGTCGTGAGCATTCCTCGCAATGTGCAGGTGCAGTTTGTGGACCAGCGTCAAGCCAATGAATCAAACCCGTCAAACGCTCAACGTAAGAGTCTACACTGACTCGTGAAAACGGATGTCGATGCCATCTCCACAGATCTTCACGAGAAGTTCTGTGCCTGCTCACCGGCCTAGGGCTCCAGTCGTACGTTCTGATGCCAGGTGCGTCAAAGATGGGTGCCAGGTGCCAGGAGGGTCCAGTCATACCATGTGAGTAGGCACGAATGGATCTTTGAACAGATCTTGGGACCTGAACCACGACCTTTTCACCCTCGGGGGTCAGGCTGAAGGCGCCAGGCAGGTGCACCACACCATCTCGCTGATAAGCCTTCCGGACGTCGCGACGACCGAAGGCGCGTGCGTCAAAGTCGGCGCGACAAGGTCGTGTGGAGAGAGACTTTGAGGAGGAGTTGGTCCTTTTTGGGGCCAGGAGATGCACTGAAGGAAAACCTATAACGTTTGGTATTCAAAGATCCCAAAGGATCCAATTGAATGAGATATTCAGCTCAGGGTCCCACCTTCGTTTGTTTTGTTTTCCTGCAAAAATGACTCAGGTTCTCCCGTTGAGGACAAATCCACGTGTATACAGTATATTGTAAAAAAATGTTTCAAAATAATGACCACTCAGATCCTCCGTTCAAGTCCCTCAAAACCTGAAAACAGAGGAGTTTATGGGTCCAATTCCAACCACTCAGACCGGGTCGGGCGAACCAAACAGCCGCCAGGTTGAACCAAGATCCTTCGCTGCTCCTTCCACCGCGAGGACCTCACCCACGAGGACCTCACCTCTCGCTCTGCCGCAGCGATCTGCACCGTCTGTGGCGACGGGGCCAGGCCCTCCGTCGCAACGAGGCGGAGCGGTGCTCCGTAGACAGCGGTGGTGAGACAGCATGGGGTGGATTTCCCAAAAACGACCGTGTTCAGAAAACCAGAATTCTGGTAAGCAAAATAGATCTAAGCCCGGCCCTTTAGCCTTCAAAAACGAGTTCAACAATGGTTCAAAACATGGTTGATGGATGTTGACGGTTGACCTGATCTGGTTTTGCGCTCGAAAATGTTTGGTAAAACATTAGGTTCTTGCATAAACCCATCAAAACCCATGGTGGGTAAAAAAGGACTCGCAGGGTAAGATGACGTCGGATACGATCTAAATTGCCTGATCAGGTGCGGTAGCCCGTGGCTATTGCTTGCCTCCGTCCAGCTGGATACACCCAGCAAGATTAACATAGAGACTGAAAATGGACCTTTGGAAGACTATTTTCCTCTACCTGGACCCTCCAAGGGGTGTCCAATGGACTACCCCACACTACCTATAGGCTTGCATTGGGCACGCCTTGGAGGGTCCTGGTACAACCCAGTGGTTTTCAGGTTCCAATGTGGGTCTTGGAACCAGGGCATAAAACGTCAATGATCACCTTGCTTCCTCACCTCACCTCGTCTTGGGGACGTCTTGGGACCCCTTCTTCAACAGCCGGTCAAGCTGCCAATAAACGTCAAGCTCGGAGAGTCGGGCATGTTTGTTACCCCAGCAGGATCCGGACTACCCCAGCAGGATCCGGACCCTGATAAACTAAGGGCTTTGAGGGTAGCTGACCCATGACATGGTGGTGATCCACCACTGTCTCTTGGGCTGGACTGAAATCAATCAACTGACGCATACTGACGCCTGTTTTTCAGAGGTCGCAAATGGATAGAACTTCCGTGGAGAGGAGTTCAGATGATAAAGACATCTCCAGAAATACCATCGCCTGAAACGACTTGCGTGCCCTCCCTGCAGCTGTGCCCTCCCTCCCCGGTGGTTTCGGAGCGAAAACCCTCGGCTTTCTGCGGCCTGGTGCGAGAACGTCCGGTACCCGACTCCACTGGGTGGCCTCCGAAGCGGGTGCGAACACCGCTCACGGCCGCCCCGAGGACGTCCTCCACCGCTACGAGGACGGGTCTGAGGAAAAAATAAACCGCCGGAAGGGTCCCGGACCCGGGTAGGACATCGAACACCGAATTCTTGGACCTTCGGCGAGAAACGCAGGAGTCTACAAACCCCGAACCAAAACCCCTTGTTTTTGAGGGTCCGGATCTGAAGAAGCAGACTCCCCCAGATTCGAAGGGTCGGAACCTGGACCAGGAGTGCGAAAAGAAACGTCGCAAAAAGACCATGGTCCATTTCGGTCACCTCCGGTCGACCGTTTGGACCTTTTGGACCTGAACAAGATCTCAGACACGACCGCCGGACTGGCAGACTGGCACACAGACAGGGGTGGTTGATGTCAGGGGTGAAGGTGGGCATGTTTTTTCTAAGAATCCGGGCCCGGTTCGCAACAGATAGGGTTTGGGAACCGGGCCCTTTTCCCTCTGCGTTTCGGTGGAGAAGGTCCGAGCCCGACCCCCATGGAGAGCCCGAGCTCGGATTCTTAGGGTAGTCCCATGGAGTGTTTGGGACATGGTCTGAAAACACTCATGCCAAACACACGCACGCACGAGTTCGTGCGACCAGAGTCTAGTCTTTCGAAAGAGTCCTGTGGCTCATGCTCCACCCAACATGGAGTCCCAAGTACAGAGGAAGTGGTGCCCATTCACCTCCAGTTTGCAGGGGTCGGACCTTCTCCCTCGAAACGCGCAGGGGTCCGGACCCTCATGAACAAGGGGTTTTGAGTTTTGAGGGTACAGTATATACCCTGTATATAGGGGCTTCGACCCCTGCGAAGAGGGAGCAGGTCCATCCGGATCCTGAAGATGAAATTCCGTGAATGGCCCTCCCTTTGCAGCTTCAGCACCTGCCTCAGGAGGGCTGAGATCTGTCGAATTCGTCGCACTGCGATCATGGCGGCGCAAGAGCGTGATTCTATGAGGAGCACCAAGAGAATCTATACCTAAGCTAGATGTCCAATGGCTCAAATTCCCAGTGGTTTATGTCTACAGATTCTGGCCCAAAACAGTCTAAAAAAGACTTGAGGCACAAGTCCTGAACGGGGGCAGAAATTCTCGGAGCTCCAATCCGGCCGGCAGTACATAGCAGTGCCATAGTCCTGAAGTGTCCCAATTCGGCATCAAACATCCCACCCCAACCATCCCACAACCCATAACCCCAGAACCATCGCTCTTCCTGTCCCGAAGCGGAACAACAAGTGGCCAGTTTCCCGACAGTGGCCAACCCAAATCTTAATCAACTCATTGTTCAAGCTTAAAGGCTTTGACCTACAGATTCACAACGCAGATAGCATCGACCCGGTCGACTCACATCGTGACCGATGTAAAACAGGATGTCCATGCAGTGTAAGAATCCTTAAACTTAGTAAAACATATGGTTCTTTTTCTAAAGACTATTGAAACAATGGTTGGTTGAATCCTAGGACTATCACATGCAGCTGCTCTTGACTTCACATCTCGATCTTCAAGCAGCTACGAGACAAATGCGCAAGCAAACGCTTGCGTGTCTTTCACGCTGAACATGGAGGACAAAGGGTCGGGTGACTCCAACCAACCAAGTGTACCAGGAGTCACAAGACGGGGTGGCTCGTCCCATCCAGTGAGTGGATGTTCTGGGCACCCCTAATCTCCATGGATCGCACCCCTTTGTAACTGCTGGTATATAGTTTTGGAAGGAAAGCCAAGTAGAACCTTTAGAACCAATGGATTTTACATCTATGCATGCTTGACTATACTTGTCCTTGTCACAACCGCGGGCTCTGTCTCCCTTGGTCCGTATGTCGAACATCTTGGAGATCCTGAGCCATCCTGAGTCATCCTGGAGGTACACAAAGTACACCGGAGCCTTTTCTGCAAGTCTTCGCATCCTGCCAGATTGGGTCTGGTTGCATGGCATTCAAGCAGGAATCGCCAAAAGTTTGGTGGGAGATTGATATTCAACTGGACACTAGCATCACTAGATCAACTGAAACACATTGGCCAAGCAGGGACAGGCTTGTCGCGATTCCCGCTGAATGGAAGGGTTTTCAGCACAGTGCTAAAGGAAGACAAACCTGAACCTTTAAATATGCCCACGGTGCCAACCAAAACACACAGGGAAATAGAAATAGGCATCCCATGTGTGTAGTTGGTCATGTCACATCTGGAAACCAAAAAGAGCAATACAGCAATACTGAATTGCATTGAATGCATCGACATGTTCACAACCTGAGGTGCTTGTCACCTCATTGTTTTGGGCACTGAGAAATGTGAGTTCAGGTGAATTGGTTGTTTCACATGAAACTGCCACACTGCATGCCACACTGCACAGACACCTCTATGAGAGAGGTGGCGGAAAACTTAAAAATTGGACAGAATATAAATGAATATCATCAAAATCAGACAGAGACTGTGGAGAATCTCGCATTCACCTCGGCGAGCTCGCTCCGAGGATCCGGCTGTTCGCGCCACCACGAGGATCGCAGGGAAACCTTTTTCAAGACCCGACTGGACTGTTCGACTATCCCGGGTACCCCAGGTTTTCCGGGTCCTTTTTTTCAAGAGCACGGGTACCCCCCACGAGTGGGGCGGGCCCGGTCGTAAAACGGCCTTGTTCTGTGACGAGACCGTGTAAGGCGTGCGGTGACGAGTCGTCACGTTCCAACCCAACGGACGACACGGTCGTTCCCCGACCCGCTCCACCCGTGCGAAACGTGCGCAGGCGCTCACGTGCTCCGTTTCTCCGGTGGGGCGCAGGTCGGGGCCTCCACGGCGTCCACGCCTGGGAACACGGGTGGGAATCCACCACTGTTCGGTGTCGAAACCCCACCTGACAATGCTTTCGGATTCCCAGACACGATCCATCCAACTACGAACTGCCTTCAAAACGGCCAGGGGTGGTTGGTTGACTGGGTCTGTCTGGGGCGGCAGTCCGGACTGGCAGTCCCAGACAGGTCGGCGTGTGGATTGGTCTTTGGGACCGGTTTTGGGAGGTGCTGGTGGAGCCAGTTAGCTTGGAGGTCCGAAGCTCCCCCCCACTCCTCCCATCCCTGAAGGTCACCTTGCGTCGGGAGGCAGGACATGCAGGACCTTCTCCCTCAATCGAAACGCAGGGGTCCTTAGGGACTCCCGGCTTCCCCAAACCCTATGTGTGGCGCAAAAGGAGCTCGGGGCGCGACCTCCCACCCGATGGCCAGCCGACCCGCTCGGGTCTGCAGCACTGCGGCACTGCGGTCTACGGCCTTGCCATGCCCAGCCTCAAAGGAAGCCTTGCCACCGGCTTCGGCGCCACTCGCGAGGCGCATGCAGAGGGATCCAGGGCACCTGAGCCGCTGGGTAGGCCTTCCCGGTCGGTTGAGTCGTAGATTCAGTAGGGTCACCTGCTCGTGTTGATTGAACTTACCATTCTGTGTTGTATGTTTCCCTAAGAATCTGGGCCCGGTTCGCAACACATAGGGTGTGCGAACCGGGCCCTTTTCCCCCTGCGTGAAACGGTGGAGAAGGTCCGACCCCGACCCCCATGGAGAGCCCGTACGGATTCTTAGGGAAGTTTATAATATACCAAGGGCCCCACAAACCATCAAAAACCTGGTTTTCCCCAACAAAAAAACATGGTTTTTGGTAGGTGAAAACTGATGTTTTTGCATGGGACATTGGTGACCGGGCCTCTGGTAGTTTATAAGCTTAAGCTATGTGTGCCTCCTCACTGTCGGCCACGAACTCCAAGTGGTGACATGCCCGAAACGAGCCCAGCCCAGACGAGGCCGTCTGACGAGTCTGACGAGGTGACCCCCGAGGTGACCGGCTTCGGCTTATGGTTCCTTTGCTTTCCGTTGGTGCCAAACATATAGTCCAACTGGACCACTCGTCCGGGCATGTATAGCATATATTAGATATATAGCATGATGTATAGCATGATGCATGTAACATGGTCTCATGCATGCGCGATGTTTGCTGATCATCCAGCTGTGCTTCATCATCCCTTGTGCCCTCTTCCGGAAGACAGCCTGCACATTGGCTTGAAGGACGTCGGCTTTGGCCCTGCCGCGACATGCGATTCCCACAAACATCCACTAGATTGATCAAAGTGCACATTGTTTTTACGACGAACGGTTGCAACTTCCTGCATACCGCAAAACCCTTGGACGCCCCAAAGCAAAGTATATAGTATCATTCTTGACGTCGAAACCGAGTCCTATCGTCCTATCAGCACGGCTGAGATGGCCGTGGTGGATTTGCGGCGGATGCACCCACGATGCGGCACCCCAAATAGATGAGGCCGCACAGGGCAATGGTGCAAAACTCGTTGATCCACACCCGCCGGGGGTCTGATGTCAGTCTATATGTCTTTTTGCAGTGTATGGCTGTGGGTCAAAACCTGGAGCCCGTTTCACCCTTATATGTTTCACCCTTATATGTTGACCTCCATATGTATGCACTAATCTGTTCCTTTGCCCTGGTTCTGACCCGACCGCGGGCGGACCGCTCTGTGCACACCAAACAACCCCAGTCCGACCGAAAGAGATAAGACGCCAGGTTTGTTAACCAATATGTTAATTACATTTACTGGGATTCCAGGTTTGCCATTTCTTTAATGTTCTTTACGATTATGTTACTTGGGTTTGGTTGACCATGGTAATTGTCTTCAAAGGCTAGGGGTGTGTTTCGTTCCGCCTGGGGTGGGAAAAAACGTTCCGACACCCAAATCTTTGGCAGACAACTCCCGCAGAGTCCTCATCGCAGGACAGTTGGCGTCAATCAGCTTGGCAGCGTTCTTGAGGTAAGTGCTCTCAGACCTGAACTTGGATTTGTTGCAGTGGCCTAGTAGGAATGAGGTGATCAGGATCCAGTGTCGGATCATGTCATTTGGGCTAAGTATTCATAACTATAAGTAGTTATTCTGTACGTTCTGCATGTACCCTAGAAGTCGAAAGTCTACATTGTGCCTCAACGAAGTATTGGAAGTTGCCTTCCAAGTACCTTAGTCAGACAGAACTTTTTTGTACAGTCTTTGACTCAGGGTATAGAATTATATTATACAATACCAGCTGCTTCAGGGCAACCCTACACTACTTATAGGCATAGGTCTCCAGACAGGCCAGACGCACCTAGGAGCCATGAAATCCCCATCTCGACGCTGGGAAAGAGATGGATGGGGTCTGCATCCGGAGTCCCAGACTGGATTTCAGCCCGACACCACCGACCACCACTCGGACCCAGTCACACCCCCGCCACTCCCAGGCTGCTGTGATATCCAGAAGACCCAAACACGAAGGGCCCGGACCCTCCAGGCCGCGAAGGGTTTGCTGAAAAAGGTCGTATTCGAAGTGGATCTATGAAATCCGCGCAAATACAGGACAAACCGAATCTGGATCAAACATCCACTGATGTCTCAACGCACGGGGGGCCAAAAGTAGGAGGTCACCAAACCCCCTATATGTGTTGCTTGGTGGCCCGGATTCTTAGGGAGAATGGAGCTGGTTCCCCTTATAGGCCCTTGTGTTCAAGCTCTTTCTTCAGCCGTCCGATGTGTTCGAGCTGGCGATTCTCGGGCGACTCACGGGGACTCTGGACCCACATCCATTTGGCCAAAGCCAAGCCCTCTTGCACTCACTGTTCTTGCACCCAAAATGAAAGTGACTCAGACTCCTGGGAGTGCAAGTATGGTCTTTGGGTGATCCCAGAAAGAACGTCCTTTAACAGTCTTTGGATTCTCTTATGATAGTCTACCGGCCAAGTGTTAACAATCATGAATTATAAACAATCCCACTCTTTGGGGTCTTGGGTCTTGCACAGTTCCGCAGCTGACTGTTCTCCCTTCACCCGTCATCTCTGTCATCACCCATGTCTTCGTCACGCGGCTGCTCCAAATGCGCATCGTGCAGCACACGGCAGTCGTCCTCAGACCAAGAGCCCTTGTCCTTGGATGAAGAGCACATGCTCCAACATAGCAAAAATAGACGGCTGACACATAAAGAATTCAAAACTGCCAAATACGGGGAAGTGCTCACTAAAAGCGCGCTACACAGATCTGTGTTAATCTGTTCCATAAAAGTGAGTCACTCGCACTCGATTTCGCCATCGCCGCCATGTCGCCGCCATGTCGCCCGGGCCAAGAAACGGATTCCGTGTCCAGAATGCCATACTGCGAGAGCAGCATTGCACTTCCATCCTGCCAAGCAGCAGCACCCTGCTACCAATTCCAAGGGGTTGGCTGGCTGGACTGCCCTTATACTTTATACCTATATGTACTTACAGGTCTCCAAACAAGGCACGCGGAAGCGTGAGTTGGTGGGGTATTTGACTTAGGGAGACCCCTTTCTCGCTGGGTCGTCCTGAAGCTTCCAGGTCGCCCTAAAGATCGACGACCTACGTGATCGACGTGGTTGCCCTATGATCGCGCAGAAAAAGGTCATCGATCTTGTTATTTTCTATTTGTTTTTCTAGGAAGGTGCGTCTCTGACACCAGCCAGAATGCAGAAAAAGAATGGTTTTTGTAGATCCCCTAGAAGTCCAGCTGGACGAGACCAAAGTGAGACCTGGACATTCGCCACCCCCCGAAACGTCGCCGTTCCAACGTAGCGCCCGAACGGATCCTCCCATGGATCCCCAGGTGAAACGGAGCAACGAAAGGCGCGTGAAAGCGAAAGAACCCGCCTTGGGCGGATGGTAAGCCACCAGTAGCTCATCGCCTGCCTGACAGAAACTCGTGTTTGGCAGGGTGATTTGTCCGGTTGGTCAAAACGATGGAACCAAGACCCTGTAGACAAAAAAAAGACAACAACACCCCTAAGGCCTGGGATTAACCACATTGGTTTGAACATGTTTGAACGGTCTTTACCAGAACCATTGTTTTCCCAAGGATCTTAGACTACAACATCAGGGTCAACTCGTTCATTTTTTGGTCAAACGGTTCGAACGACCGGGAAAATGAGGGAAAATGATCAGTTGCCGTTGAGAGGTCTCCCATTCAAAGACAAACACATCACGACAAGGCATGGAAGTTGAGGATCAACGCTGGAGTCCCCGACCCTGACAGCTCTGCGCGTGGTAAATTTCAGCATGTCTCGCTCGCAGTGGTAGACCTTGTTTCGCCATGGAATCTGGAAGCAGCACGACGGTGTGGAATAGCTTTTGAAGAAAATGATTTCAATCTCACAGCATCTCTGCACTTCATTGGCACAGAACCCCGCAACGATCCCTTTTCAAGCGACAGCAATGGAATCTGAACAAGGACAGACATCGAAAACTCGAGGAAGCGGTTTCTGGGCCGCTGCATCAGGCTCACGCGAGGTTCCCATAAGAGAAAAGCATTAATTCGTGCCAGTAGCAGTAGTTGTAGTAGCAGCAGCAGCAGTAGTAGCACTGGTGGTGGTGGTGGAGGTGGTGAGTAGTAATAATATTAGTTAGTTAGTTAGTTAGTTAGTTAGTTAGTTAGTTAGTTAATTAGTTGGTTAGTTAGTTAGTTAGTTAGTTAGTTAGTTAGTTAGGTAGTCAGCTAGTCAGATAGTTAGATAGTTAGTTTGTTTGTTTGTTAGTTTGTTTGTTTGTTAGTTTGTTAATTCGTTAGTTTGTTAGTTAGATAGTTAGATAGTTAGTTAGTTAGTTAGTGAGTGGTAGTAGTGGTAGTGGTAGTAGTGGTAGTAGTGGTAGTAGTGGTCGTAGTGGTGGTGGTAGTGGTGGTAGTGGTGGTAGTGGTGGTAGTGGTGGTAGTGGTGGT